GCAATGGTGCAATCTCAGCTCACTGCAACCTCCGCCTCCTGGGCTCAAGTGATTCTCCTGCCTTGGCCTCCCGAGTAGCTGGGATTACAGAAGCATGCCACTATACCTGACTAATTTTTGTACTTTTAGTAGATATGGGATTTCACCATGTTGGTCAGGCTGGTCTCGAACTCCTGATCTCAAGTGATCTTCCCACCTCAGCCTCCCGAAGTGCTGGGATTATAGGCATGAGCCACTGCGCCCAGCAATGTGGCTATTTAAACTTAAAGTGAAAATCAAAAATCAATCAACAAATAAAAATAAGTAAAAAATAAACTTAATGTTAAATACAATTAAAAGTTCAGTTCCTGGCTGGGCACAGTGGCTCATGCCTGTAATTCCAACAGTTTGGGGGGCCAAGGTGGGCGGATCACCTGAGGTCAGGAGTTTGAGACCAGCCTGGCTAACAGAGTAAAACCCCGTCTCCACTAATAATACAAAAATTAGCTGGGCATGGTGGCACACGTCTGTAATCCCAGCTTCTCAGGAGGCTGAGGCAGGAGAATGACTTGAACTCAGGAGGTGGATGTTGCAGTGAGCCAAGACTGCGCCACTGCACTCCAGTCTGGGTGACAGAGCGAGATTCCATCTCAAAAAAAAAAAAGTTCCGTTCCTCAGTTGCATTAGCCACATTTCAAGCACTCAACAGTCACATAGCTATTGGCTACCACTTCGAACAGCACAGACAGAACATTTCAATCACTGCAGAAAGTGCCTCCTAGACAGCACTGGCTTACCCATTTGGAAAATTTAACCAAATTCCTACCTTACTCACAACCATCTCATAACTCGAACATTCTCATCGGTTTCCCACTCCTCAATCGACGCAATCTCTGCAGTTACTGCCCAAGTTGAAAGGTGATCATTTGGAGGCCAGATGCGGTGGCTCACGCCTGTAATCCCAGCACTTAGCAGGGCAGATCACTTGAGGTCAGGAGTTCCAGACCAGCCTGGCCAACGTGGTGAAAACCTGTCTCTGCTACAAATACAAAAATTAGCCTTGTGTGGTGGCGAACGTCTGTATTTCCAGCTTTCTCGGGAGGCTGAGGCATGAGAATTGCTTGAACCTAGGAGGCGGAGGTTGTAGTGAGCCGAGATCGCGCCACGGTACTCCAGCCTGGATGACAGAGCGAGACTCCATCTCAAAAAAAAAAAGAAGTTGATCATTTGAGTCCTGTGCCTAATTCAGTGTTCAGAACAGTAGTCATGTTCACATGCCAACCTGTGGGGTGTATCCTCAGTCAGAAGTTTGGATCTAAAGGCAGTTCACAAGGCAAAGATTCAGTTCTGTCAAAACTCATTTTGCAAATCTCTTAACGAGCCCATAAAACACAGTGCTGGTTCACAGTAAGAGCAATACAGCCAGCTTGTCTATTTCTCTAGTTGGACATCATCTCAAGCAGTTGGCTTGAGCCAGAGTGAAGAAAAGAAATCACACTCCGTCTCTAAGCACCAGGAGTGTACTTGGTATAGAGAGATAAGATGCTGCTACTAAGGAAGGCCAGCTGGAACAGAGGCTGACTGAGGAGGCACCAGCAGATTCCCAGCTCCCACCTCAGCCTTCTGCTGGGACACTAGCTGGGAGGAATGGGGGGCAGAACTACCCTCCCTGTTTGGCCCATTATCTTTTTCTTTTTTGCCAAGCAGATAGGGTTAATTTTGCTTAGTCTACCTGTGTTCACATGTCACCTTTGTGAACCTAAGAATGTGCAAGCCACTAGAAAAGGACAGAGAACCTGGTCAGGCACGGTGGCTCACGCCTATAATCCCAGCACTTTGGGAGACCATGGCAGGAGGATCGCTTGAGCCCAGGAGTTCGAGACCAGCCTAGGCAACATGGCAAGACCCCATCTCTACCAAAAATTCAAAAATTAGCTGGGCATGCTGGTGCATGCCTGTAGTTCCAGCTACTCAGGAGGGAGGTGGAAGGATCACTTGAGCCCAGGAAGTTGAGACTGTAGTAAGCAGAGAGGC